TGACAAATCTCTTGGGAGAGACTTGAGTGTCTTTTTCCTGACCAACCTTTCTCTTGAACTCTTTGATGTGCCTTCATGAGAAGTCTTGAGAAATTCCTAAGCATCTTTGACCACAAAACATGTGTTCGTCAGTTTAAAGATGGAACTCAACACATTAGAATTACCAAGATCTAACTCATACACTCCGTTTGACCAATCTTCTTTTGGCCTCAAAGGAAATTCCCTTCCTTTATCCTTAACACCAGGATTCACCAATCTTGATAAAATTCCTATATTTGTTGTCCATTGACATCAAGAATGCTATCATTATGTCATTCCAAAAGACCAGTAGTACCTGTAGGTGTTTAGTTATTGGCATGCATTTTTGGTAAAACCAGGTGTGTGAATGTCATGACTGATGTCATAACATTCTAGTTTATTAGGTACTGATTTATTAGGTACCTTTGCAGAAAAATAATGGCATACAGGTGCTACTGTTTATGAGTGTGTATCTAAGAATTTTGCAAAATGATCACATTTACCAAAATCAGTAAACAGGAATTCTGATGTCATAACAAATGTTAAGACATCCTGTTCTGATTTAGCAGTTATGCAGTTTGGTTAATTCTTAGATTTTTCAGGAAGATGACTCATTCTTTCCAGAACAGAATCTCTCGTGGATTTTGGGTTAACCTAGCTCAACCCTAACCTAGTTGATAAAGTCTTGTGACCAAGTCTTAAGGTCAAACGGAATTAACCCTAGCTTTTTGTGGAAACCCTAACTGAAGCAACAGCTGCTATATATTCAACATGGCTGCTGTTTGGAATTCATCCTTTTTGAAAGAAGATCATTTAGGAGCTGTATAGTTTTAACTATTGTAATCCAAGCAAGTATCATTGTGATAAGTGACTTGGAATAGGTTTTAATTGTAAGGGTTTTGTATCACTCAAAGCTTTGAAGTAAGAGTGTTTTGTGTCTCTTGACTAAAGCTTTGAAGCAAAGTCAAGTTAGGTTTATGTATCACTCAAAGCTGTGAAGCAAGAGTGTTTGTGTTGCTTGATTAAAAAGCTGTGAAGCATAATCAAGTGTATGTTTTGAAGAGTGTCTTCATTAATTCATTAGTCAATTGTTTTAAGTATCACTGCTGTGATTGAGGGGGAGTGAGTAGGAACTCAGGTTTAAGTTGTACTTAGATTGAAGTTGCATTGGGTAGGTCTTAAGTGAAGGAGATAAACTGGTTGGTTTATTCCTGAATTAATATCTCTTATAGTGGATTTCCTCCCTGGCTTGGTAGCCCCCAGAGTAGGTGTTGTTGCACACTGAACTGGGTAAACAATTGACTGTGTTCTTTACTGTTTTTGTATTTACTGTCTTATAGAAAGTCAGATACGGTGTTATAACATTGAACGTGACATTGAGTATCTGCAGCCAGAATTTCAGTACCAGAAAAATTTCTCCCTGAAACTCACCCAATAAATAGACCAGGTACCTGCTCTAATGTCAATTGAAATTATGGAACTTGTAACATGTGTTAATACGGATTTCCCAACATCAAAACACAATTTCAAAATAGATATTATGACATCTGCTGATAGATAGGACAAATATATCAAAACTTAAACTTATGCATAAATAAATTGCAGAATGATAAAAAACACAGCTGGTTGTTAACCCAGTTCGGTGCAACATCACCTACTTCAGGGGCTACCAAACCATGAAGGAAATTCACTATGACAATATTAGTTCAAATCCTAAACAATCTCACTTTATAACTTCTCACCTAATCACTACCTTGTGAAACTTCTACCTAGAAACCTTCTAGATATAAGATCACTCTCTCACTTCCTACCAGTCACCTCAGTAATAAACTACAGTCACAAACCAGTGACTAGAATCAAAACCAGAAGATTACACTTCCAATACAATAATACTCAACTCCTTGCTTAAAAGCTCATGAGTAAGAATAATACTCAGTTTTGCTTAAAAGCTTCAACCAAGAACAATAACTTAATAAACAATCAAGTAACAATAACTTGATAAACAATCAAGTAACTATCAAACTACCTCATTGTATCAAAAGATACATTAGTGACTTACAAAAACACAAGAGACTCTCAAAACCTAAGACTTTAGACTTACCCTAATTTTACAATTGTGAAAAGTTAAATTACATTAGGTCTAGGTTTCTCTTTAAATACTCCTCATATATTTCTTGATCCACAAGCTGAGGGTTGCACCAATTATGTAGAAAAATATTCTTAAATCTTGGAACACAACATCAAGTTTCCTAAATTATCTCAACATATTTTAAAAACTTATATACAACTAGATATTAGATCACTTGTTCCAGATTAAATCTTCTTGACCTGCGAAAATTATTGAGATATATCCAAAAGAAATATCATAAAATCAAATCAAATTTGTCAAGATTTAAAACAACATGTACTAATGTTCTGGTTCAACATGTCACAACATATGTCAGAATATTTATCTTCAATGCAACCTTCACACTCTATTGTATCAATTTGATTAAGATGTTATGACATCTTACTTAGCATCTATCATGGACCATATTATAGCAAATTTGCTGTCAATCTTAAAACCATGGATCTAACAGCTTTTATAATGGAAGTTATTTATGTTTCACGCAGATCACTAATGGTAATATCTTGAGCGTTGATAGTCATGAAATGGACGACAAGGATTTAATTAAGGATTTGATAAATATCCTCAATTTTAACGCTAAATGGTCCCTTGTTTTTTAGGAAAACCGACAGATTAGAACATTTAATTTCATTGTAGTGACTATAACTATTGAATTCACTATTTGACTAGGGATCGTATAATTAGGAATTGTGACTAAGAGACTAACGCACTTTATTTTCCTAGTTTGACGATACAATTGGCCCGATGGATTGGAGAATTGACACTTAGACTAGTGAATTGCACACCAAGGAATTTGGTGTAGTGGTATAGTTAGTTTGTCGTGTAACTTTGTAGTCATTACATGTGTGTTAACGCGTGTTTTATCAATCAAGTAGAAATAGGGGATTACAATACTAAGACTTGACCACCTTTATCATCATTGTTATAAAAAAACTTATCTCTTGCATTTTCGACCAAACAACCTGAAAAACCCCTTGTTTATTATTTTTAATTACATCACACAACGTACCTTATTCTAAATTTGCAATCCCTCTAGAGACGATTTTATTTTTATTGCTTCAATTACCATGCTAGTGCACTTGCTAGTAAATTATTCATCATGCATCCTTTTCATTTCTAAAGGGTTTTAGATATTTTTTCCAACCTACCACCTTCATGTTTCCACCACATCTTCACACGATCAACATTAAACTTTAACAACGAAATTTCAAATATAAGCCACTTGTCCTACTACATCAGATTTCGTTAGAGGCACTTAATCGGAGGGATCAAATATATAGATGAAAAATATTAGAATGATCATTCTTTTAAAAAAAAACTTTTAGAGATTAAAAGTGAATTTGTCAATATTTAAAAGAACTAAAAATATATTTAATCTAAAATTTAATTGGAACTCTTCCCTAAAATCTAAAACCCGATATTAATGTTTTCAATTCTGCATAACAAATAAGCTACAAAGATACAAGAAAATTAACAATAACAAAACTAATCTTTTATGTGGTCCACCTCCTTGCTAACCACCACTTTTGAGTTTAAAAAAAAAAAAAAGAAGAAGAAGAAGCAAACATTGAACACTTGAGTCCATCACAATCTATCTTGGTGACGATAAATGAATGATAAAAGTGATATTCATTTGTAGTTTTAGAAGATAGTTTAAAACTTGGTTGGATAATCACATTAGAATAATAACAATGGCAGAAATGAGAAAAACGTCGCGTATTCACCTAAAAAATTTTAGAATTTAGGTGTGTTACCTAAAACTTTAAGATTTTAGATGTGTGGATCATCTCGCTTATTATATTTGATCAATACAATTGCAACCAATATATGATCTTGTATAAGACTAATTTTGCGTTTGGTTTATTGTACTAGTATTTATATTATCACCTATTGGACTAGGAATTTGCATTTCAAAAGTAATAGCTAAGATTTTGTTTACTTGTGAACTCAAGCCTTTTCATGTCTATAGTGTATAGCAATAATATGTAAGTGGATCTGGTGTTGGTTGGTTTAAAAATATATGTAATTTATATGAATTTTTTTGCACTATTCTTCTGATCTGAAGTTGGAAAGTGAAACATGTATATCTTAGAAAATCCTCTAAACACTTAAGTATCCCTTAGGATCTAATCTATGAATAAATGAAAAAAAATTCAGTATAAAAAATTTAAGTGTATTTAAAATTTCTGATATATTGAAAATTTTAAATACACTGAAACTTCTAATACTGAACTTGTTTTTTTGAAAAAAATATCAGATTTTTTGTAAAATTCAATATTTTTTCAGAAATTTTTCAAAAATCCAGTATATTTTTAAAATTTCCATTTTTTTTTTTAATTTCCGGTATATTTTTGATTTTTTTTCCTTTAAATTTTGAAATATACTGAAATGTCCAATACGGTATTCGGAAATTCTATTATTAGACTGAAATTTTCAAAATCTTTTTGCAAAAATTTAAAAAAATCAGAATTTTTTAAAATTTCTGATAAAAACTCAAATTTTTTTAAACTTAATGATTATTCACAAGGGTATGATAACCCGTGGAACACAGCTCTCTTCTCTTATCCGGATTTGGACTTAGCTCGGATGCTTTAATTGTCTCGCTATGAGTGTGGGAAGTGTCTTATAATAAATATTACAGGTAGTAGATGACCTTCCAAGCAGTAATTAGTGAGTGAGGTATCCAATGAGCAATCAAAGCTTGAGGGACAAACTTCAACTCATTTTTTAATGGATTAGATATCAGGTCCCATAAGGTTGATTAGTAACAAGTGACATTTTACAAGTTTGGCTTATTACATCTTTCAACAATAAGCCATTTGACCCATTTTTAGAATAAGAATCAGTTAAGTCATTACTGAGTTTGGTATGAAGCTTCTTCAATCCCTATCGGACAATAACCTACGAGTTGCAACAAGATCACATGTCACCAATCAATCTGTACCAGAAAAATGAAGTTGTACTAACTATGAACATCTGAAACATTTTCAAAATTAGCACTGCAGTTAATATATAATCAAATGCTTCTTTAAGTCACTTTATGTTTGAAAGCAACAAGTTTGCCTTCCAAATAAAGGATTGTGACCCTTTTGGTACTACAACTGTCTACCTGATATGGAAATTCCAGAAATCAAAAAGAATCTGGCAGCAGTTTCTCTGTCAAGTTACTCTCTGACACGCTTCAAATAGGATTACTTCCAGTGGAGGAAACTTATGGATACCCAAAAAAATTGATATCTGCACAAAACAATTACCAATTCATACAGTATATGATCTAAACGCAATGATGGTTTCAGGCTTTAAGCTACTTTTGATGGTTTAGATCTAGATCAAACTACGAATGAAATGTGAAGGAAACATATAAGTTTCTGGCAAGTATTTGATTCAAAATTTCATTGTCATCAAACTTCCTTGAACGTTTATATCATTATAATCCACATGACTACACAGAGTGACATGACCAAATCCATGTTTATCATTTTGGTTCTTTTCAAATACAACTCCATAGCAATGATCACTTGTCAAGTAGTTGTTTATCAACCTAAACTCAGCTGCCACCAAACCACATTAACATGTGAAAACCAAATAGGTTATATGCTATTAGTAATTGTCTTGTCACTCTAACTAATTATGACAGAAACTTATTTACAACCAGGCATGAGTCCATTGTGTATACCTGCAGGATGGAAAGCAGTAGCAATCTCATTTAACTTTGGATGGCAAGCAGTAGCAATAGCAATCTCATTTAACTTTGGAAACTAAGAACAACAAATAGTATGTTTGGTTCTGTGTTAGAAATGAAAAAACGGTTTTCGACCGTGAGTTTTGGTGAAGTAATCACTGAAGCAAACATATACAGAATCATATAGCAACAATACCTGCATTATATCCTCAAAGCAGACAATTACTTTGTCACCAGCTGACAGGCTAGTTTAAACCTAAAAAAAAACAAAGCAAAACAACTTCATCAAAACTAAAAGGTGTTTGGAAGAGTTTACAATGTCACGACATAAGCCCTTACCCTTCTATTCGAATGGTACCACCACACTCATAAATCTGTCAAGATTTTCATAAGTTAATTTGAACTTATTTCAACAAGTTCCTGGAATAATAACTTATGAATAAGTGCATAACAAGGTTACAGGTAATGCTTTGCTCGCCATGTTATGAATTTTGAAATTGTCGAAACCTCAACGCAGCCCCAACTGAGGCCATGTTGCCCACATTTGACTACAAATACAATTCTTGGCAATATCAAGTTAAATGCTCAACAATACTAGCTTATTTATATGATTAATTAAATTGTTTATCCAATCACAATTTCAGATTACTATGCAACTATTCGAATTCAAAAAAACATTAAAAAAAAGGGAACATAAACACATAATTAGTAATATCATATGAATTCGATCTCTCAAATCACAATTGAAGAATGTACATGGACTAATCTAGAAGACAAGCATACAATGGAAGACGAAAATGTAAAAGAAAAAGAAGCAATAACAAATGCAACAAAGCAAAAGAATCACCAAGAACCCTTCTTGTAAAACCCAGTAGAATAAAACTCAAGATACCACTTGACAAACTTCTTCAACCCTGTTTCCAAATCAGTAGTAGGTATATAACCAAGATCCCTTTGAGCCAAACTAATATTAGCATGAGTAAACTTAACATCGCCATTTCTCGGCATAGGAAGAATCTTCTTCTTGGCCTTAACCTTCAAAAGCTTCTCCAATATAGCAACAAGCTCAGTGACAGGAACAGGTGAAGTATTCCCCAAATTGAAAACCCTAAATTGAGCTGAACCCTTTTTCTTTCCACCACTACCAGTACTCTTCTTTGCAGTATCCAAAGCCCCTAAACAACCCTTCACAACATCATCAATGTAAGTGAAATCCCTAGCCACACTTCCACCATCTGGTGATTCATACACTGTTATCACCTTCCCCTTCAAAATATCCTTTGTGAAAAAAAAATAAGCCATGTCTGGCCTACCCCAAGGTCCATAAACCGTGAAGAATCGCAGCGCGGTTATCGAAAGACCATAAATATGGTTATAACTATGCGCGATTTCTTCACCGGCTTTCTTCGTCGCGGCGTAGAGGCTCGCCGGTTGATCAGTTCGATCTTTCTCCGAAAACGGAACTTTGGAATTCAGACCGTAAACTGAACTCGACGAAGCCCAAACAACCGCCGGTTGAGGATTCGCCGATTTACAAGCTTCTAGGAGATTCACAAAACCAGCTATATTACTGTGAACATACGAGCCAGGATTTTGCATAGCGTAACGAACACCAGCCTGCGCCGCGAGGTGCATCACGTGAGTAAACGGGACCACATCGAAAAGCTTCTTGAGGAGACGGCCGTCGTTTATATCACCGTCAACGACGAAAACTCCGGCGCGTTCGAGAAGCTTCTTCCTAGCTTGCTTTAGGTTAGGGTCGTAATACCGATTAAAATTATCAATTCCAAGAACACCGTCACCGCGGCGCTTTAAAGCGAGGGAGACATGAGCACCGACAAAACCAGCGGCGCCGGTAACAAGAACGGTATGACCAGAGGCAGAGTTTCGGCGAGCCGATTTGGAAACAAGCCGCTCCCATTGAGAACCTCCCCATGAGTCTCCTAACACACGGCGGGGTGCGGTGGTTGGCGACGGCGGAGAAGTGAAGGTGAAAAGGAAAAAAAGGAGAATAAAAGCGAGGAAAAGAGAGGTGAAAAGTGTCAGTCTAGAATGTGAAGAATGGATTCTGAAGCGATGAATGTGATGAGGTTTTTCTTGTTTTAGCTTCCCCGGAGTTGACGGTGGTGAAGCTTCATTCATCTGCTGCACCATTTCATTCACTTTTTGGGTTTTTCTTCGCTTGTTTTTTTTTTTTTTTGGTTTTTCTATAAAACCCTCACTGTTTCTTTTTCCACTATAAACACTGCACCAGTCATTTAAAGTGTCTAGGGTATAAAGTATCGACGCGTTTTATTTATTTTTATAGCACACGTTTATGCGGTGGGTTGATTTGGTATCTTTCGTAAATATTTGTTTTAGAGTAAAAAATTAATTAGTACTCTGTTTAGTCAACACTAATGATAGTAAAAATTTGATACACATACTTTTTATGAGATAAGATTACGAGTATTTCTTTTAGTGTTTGTTACATTGCATTAACACCAATTAAGAGACTTAAAAGGAAAATACCAATTAAGGGATTGAATTTGTTTTAGGAATATGCTTTGGGCGCAAGAAAAGTTTGATATGGCTTAAATGTTGTACTAGTTTTTTTATTTTTTTTATTTGATATTGCACCACAGATGTGTGTGTGCTGTAACGGTGGGTGAGTTTTTCAATCTTGTATGTGTAATCGTAATCAGTGGGTGGCATCTTGTAACATTATCTGTTTTAAAACCTGTGAAGCATCCTGCCCCACATTTTTGTTTTATATTTCTATGGTGACATTTGGTGTCAATAAACTTTTGGATTATATTGTTTTTAAATTTGAGATTTAGCTCAAGAATAGAGTAATAGCTTTTATGTTATGATTATCTTTTGGTTTTAAATAATTATATTAGAGAATGAACTTTTTTCACAGCTATAAATTTTTTAACTTTTTCAAAATAATTGGTACGAAATTGAGTTTTTTTCAAGATATTAAACTAATAAAATATTTAACAAATGTAAAGCATAAAGATAAATTAAAAAGAAAAAAAAAAGGGTGAATATTTTAGGCAAAATTAATATGTTGAAAAAAATATTGTGACTTACGAAGTTTAATCATGATTCATCCTAATAAATTATTATTGTGAATAATGAATATTTATGTTAACTATTGAATGTATGTGGTACTAGCGTTTGACTTGAATTCTTCATATCTCAATACATTTTTGTTTTCTTTGTCCATGCATTGTTGCCTCCGATAATTACTTTTGTAAGAATATTTGTTTTAGTTGTTGGAGGTAGGAATGCTTCAAATATTATATTAAATTCGATTAGATTTAATACTTAATTATAATTTAAGTTGAGTAAGTTTTGATATTAATTTTAGTGTATAAAATATTTTTAGTGAGAAGAGAAAGAGAAAATAATAAAGAAAATAAGAATTATATTATTTACTTTAATTATATTGTATAAAATAAAGGTATGCACATTTGTGATAAACACATCATTTATTCACCTAAAAATATTAAGTGAGTGGGTTCTCTAATCATTCAATATGAAATTATTTTCTAACTTACTCACACTCGCATTATTATTATTATACACTTGTATTATTGTTCTCTCTTTTTGGGCAACAAGACACTTTTTCTTAGACGTTTTGATACTAAATCAGTCTCTTTCTCGAACCAAAAACTTATGATATCATTTATTGAGAAAATTATTAGGAGTATTGATGTATATAAAGTTGAAGATTATGTACTGTTCTGGACTGGGCCCGACAGGCCCAAAAGCATTGTTAAGGCCCAGTCCAAATGGACTTACTGAGGACCACGCCGAGGTGAGGGTCACAGTCGTGCCCGGCATACTGCCGTCCAGCTCCACATCCTGATGTCCAGCCCGACATACGGCGGTCCAGCTCCACATCCTGATGGCCAGCTCGACATACTGCGGTCCAGCTCCACGTCCTGCGGTCCAGCTCGACATCCACTGTCCAACTCGACATTGCCTCGAGCATCCCAGCTAGGGCAGACTCAGTCCACTATTCCCCCAACGATACTCAGGAAAGACCGCGTCTCCGTCCGTCCGCACTTCACGCAGCACATCCAGGAAGGGGACCACGTGCGGGTCCCCACTACCCACGTAGAACCTGGCAGTTCCTCCATTGGGCCAAACCTGTCCGGCCCAATGAAGGAACCTTGGCCCAGCGCTGGGGGCTATAAATACCCTCTGCTTCCAGAGGGTCAGGTATTCATCATTATAACCTCAACTTACTATTATCTGCTCGTACTCCCACTTACTTCAGCATCGGAGTGCCTTGCAGGTACCCCCACCTCGTTCAAAAAACTTTATGCTCGGAGCCAACCGTGACGGTCCATTTCTGATCAGGTCAGATCATGTACCTTTATAGAAGAGATAATCCTCTTATCTACCTAAAACCTTAAGATTTTAGATGGATATCTCTCACAAAAATACATAATCTTTAATTTTATATTAATCTTAATGTAAACTCTCCCGAAAGAAATATGAAACACATATTGTTGAATTGTCAAAATTTATTAGTATTTGATTGATTTTGACACTCATACGACATCTGTGAACCTCAGTGAACTTAAAAAAGACTCGCCTAACTCATATTCAGTTGTAGTTGTGTTTTAGTTTGACTAGCCTTCATGAACTAATTCCAAGTTGGTTGTTTAATGTGTTTAAATGGCGACTTAAATTATTTTTGGGTGTAAACAAATGCTCTAAAATGTCACTATTTGTTAAAGTGAGTTGAAACGTGATGAAATGCAAAGAACAACAATTGTATAAGCAATGTTATCTTGCATCACTTAGATAAATAAAATAGTCATTATAAAACTCTTCTTGACTTGTAAATGAAATAAAACTAATTAAACCATGTTAAGTCAATTATGTGAATCTATGTCCTTACAAGGACATTGTCTACTGTAATTAGATAATCACGATTGTTGTTAGTTTATTGGCAAAAAAAAAAAAAAATTAGACCAACTTATTTACCAAGATGTCTTAATTTGTTGTGAGATAACCTCTCTCTACTGCTTCAGCAATTAATTAGAAGATATGTTTAGTTCAGTCAAAAGATTGTATTTGAAAAAAAAATTGTTAATCCAAATCGATTTAAAAAATATTTTATTAAATTATAAGTATAAATAAAGAGATTTAATTAAAAGATTTGAATTTGATTTAATTAAAAAATTTATTTCAGTTTTAATCGAAGCTTACATAATTTAATTGGAATTTTTTTTTTTAATTCAAATCAATTTAAAAAATATTCTATTAAATCATAAATCAAGAATAATTAAAAGGAGAATATTTAGATACAATTTCATAGCTGATTCATATTTTTATTCAATAAAAATATGATAAATATATTTATATATTTTTTAAAGAGTAAAATAATAAGAAATTGTATATGAGTAAGAGGAAATTATACTCTTATCATATTTTTATTGAAGAAATATATAATTTAGTTTAAAAAATTATTTTTATTTTATTAAAAATATATGATTTGTGAAAGATTTGGATTTGATTTTATTAAAAATATATGATTTATCGAAGATTTGATTTATTGCACTACTAAAAAAATCGATTTTAATTACCGATTTAGTGATCAAAATATTTCGGCCATTATAACGACCAAATTAGCCACTAAATTATAATACCTTATAAGTTGAGCATTATTGATTACTAAATCGGTCTCAAAATAAAATCAATCATTGATTTAATGAAATTTTGATTAATAACTAGAGACTGAAATTTCAATTACTCTTTAAATTAATATCAATTTTTTTCTCTCTATTCTTTAAAAAAAATTTATTAAAATTTTAATTTCCTCCAAATTTTTCACTTGCTTTATATTAAAAATTTTAATTCCCTTATAATTGTTTTACCTTTTGGGATCAGGTTTTTTATTTTTTTTTTTCAAAAAAAAGAATTAGACAGACAAATATATATATAAATAATTTTATTTTTTATATTATCTGCTGAACTTTTATTAAAAAAAAAATAATAAAAAAATTAATTACTTCTTTATTTTAAACTAAGCATACCAAAATTTAAAAAAAATATATAAAAGAATAATATGATTGCTATGAAAAAATATAAGTATGTAAATAAAATATAATTTTTCAACGCTTAATTTTATCTAAAATAACTTTTAAGAGGTGCAAATCTTTTTTTAAAAATAAAATTTCTTATTTAAAAACAAATTAATGGGATATCGTGCTTTTGCACGGATAGATATATATGATTTTGTTTTTAAAATATAATAAAAAATAAAAAATAAAAACAAAATTGTTTTATTAAAAGAGTTTATTATTTTTAAAAGAAAGATATATTTTGATTTATATATGGATCATACATATAATTTTTTCATATATAAAAATATTTGGATGAACGGTATAATATTCTTTTACATTATTTATAAAAATATTTGAATAAAAAATATTAAGATTCACTCATTAATTTAAAAATAATATTTGCCATTAATAACATATATTAGTGAAATGATTACATCAATAATATATATTTTAATTTTTCATATATTATCTTTAAAAAATTGTATCTTAAATAAAATATAATTTCAAAATAAAAATATTAGTAACATAAATAATTTAAAAACAACTAATTTTTCTTGTGTTCGGATTTATACATGATTTTAAATATCGTGACTTTTATTTTTTTAAATGTATAAAAAATGTCGCAACATGTGTATTCGCACGAGTTTTGGTCTGAATATTTGTGCGTTCGTATAGATACTGGTGTGTTATGCGTATTTATTTTTAAAATGGAATAAGAATGAAAAAACAGAAAGACAAAATTATTCAATCAAGAAAGTTTATTATTTTTAAAAGAAAAACATATATTTTTTTATATTTGGAGGATAATATAGTTTTCAAATATATTGTTAGACGATGACGTCTTATCTAAAGCGGGGTGAATAGATCACCAAGCCAAAAAATCCAGATAAAAATTCTAATTTTAAAAGTAATTGAAAAAGAGTGCACGCGGAAGGTTTTTAAAAAGTGTCATCTATACGAACCAAATTATTGGAAGTCGAGTATGCAAATATAAAAATGATTATGGAATGAATAATATAATATGAAATTTATATACTTCAATCAAGTAACAAGATATTAATCATTTATAACAAGTTACTAGCAATA